GTAATTACATGTAAACAGTTATAAACAATACCGTCATTTGTTGTTGCTATTGTTAACATTACTTGAATAATAATTCACAAGAAAGCATTGTGTATTTTTAATTATACAATATAAGTGCGTGCGTATACATAGAAGATACTGAAAAATTCAAAAGTTAACATCTTTTTCACGGAGTTTTCATGACGAGAAAAACCGCTGAGCAATTGAACAATTGAGTAAATTGAGCAATTTTCATCAACTTTGCACGCAAATTTTCAATTCTCCCGTTTTGGTGAATCCCCTTTTTAATTTTAAGTAGGAAATTCCATCTGATATTTGTCTGTGTTATTATTTAATTTTATCATAAAGCAACATTAAAATAAATATAAGGATATTTTTACATATTTAAAAAGTTCAGCTGCATGGAAATTTTAAGGTTAGAATAATAAAATTTGAACAGGCAAGAGAACGAATGGCAACCGTATTTCTTCTAACAAGTAGACCCTTTTATATGGCGTCTGATTTTATAGTAATATCTTATGGTATTACCTTTTTATCTTTAATGTATGGACGAATATTCTACCATCATTATTATTTGCTCTAATAAATTATTTAAAAAAATAGCTGCGCTCAAAGTAATTGAAATAAAACAAATATTATGCGAAATCTGCAAAATAATTAATTTAGATAGTTTTTTATGTGCCTGTTATAAATTTAGTACGTAAATTGCAAAAGGATGCTAGTGTTTTTTTTAGAAATATTTACCTTTTAAAAATCTAGTAAATTAATCGAGAGCTTTGAGACTTTTAAGGATGTTTACATTTACTAAAAGTAGCAATTCAATCAAGTTAAAAAGTACTCCCTAATTTAGCATTTGGGAAAGCTTGTGCTTTGTTGAATTTTTCACAAATTTCACAGAACTTTAAAATTTCTATACGTATTTATCTCAGATTTCAAAGAGAATTCAAACGGAATTGCTTGATGCAGACTGAAATATCGAAGAAACATCAAATATGACCCAAATATTCATGTTTTAGCATTTTCAAATTTTAAAAAAACCTATCTGACTTTTCTAAAAAAATTAAATCGAATTTTTTATTTTCCCCTATTAATGCAATCATATTTATTAAAAATTTATGCTCTTAATAAAATATAAAGTACACTGTGCTCACTTTGGAGGTATCGATAATTTTGAGAGTTTTCTGGATGCCTGGCCTCCTTGTTTTTCGGACTTAAATCCGTGTAACTTGTGATTACCAAGATTCCTGAAGCATTGTGTCGATCTAAGAAGCATACGGACTCTCCATGAATTGAAAACAAGCATAACAGGCTATGTTACTACGGCATGCAAGGAAACGCAAGGGGAATAAGAAAAACAGAAAAGGTTCACAAATTTAAATGATTATTTGTAAAAATAAATGAAACCCTACAGGTACTACACATTCAAACTCATCTTCTACATTCAAACACAATAAGTGCGAAATAGTCACCAATGAAAGTTTACTTTAGAATTAGAGAATAATACTTGCATCAAGCTCACAAAATCATATGCGATTTATAGGCATGGTGGATATACAGGAAAAATAGTTAGGGGTCATCAATCTAGAACAGAAGGTTCTGTATTTCCAGTAGTATAGCTTGCGTATACTTTTCAAATGTGAGTTATAGACACTTATACATGTTTACATACGGCATAACTTGTGCACATGCAGTATATCATATGTATACATCTTAAATGCTAACTTCTGTATATATGCAGTATAACTTGTATCTATTGCTTAGAATCGGATTATAGACCTTATAAAAACACCCAAAACAGAGCCGTTCAAAATAAGGTAAGGAATTTTAAGGAAACAGTTTCATTGCCGGAGGTAGAAAGTTTTTCTGAATAATTAGCATATTTTTTCGCGTACTAATTTTATTATCCGAAAATAAACTAATTTGAACTAATTTTATCGTCCTAATTTAACAATTATATCGTCCGAAAATCGACAGGGAAAAATGTTCCGAGTCATTTAATTTCCAAAGCATGCGGTTACAGTAAGAACATAGCAAATGAAAGTACTAGTCATGGATAAACGACTGGTAACTATCACAATATTATATCTTTAAAAGGAAACCTTCATTCCAATAACAATACGTAGTAACGCTAACAATAGAATATCTGACACATATTGAGCTCATATCTGACAATAACAGAGCCGTACCCGACTCATTTACCTTGTAAAGCTTGAGGGGCACTTCACAAGAATGAGCCTCAACCTCAGTCCCAAAGAGAAACATAAAAAGAACGAAGGAGAAGTGACGAACAAAACACTCGAATTTCGAAAAATTGAACACATCAGCAGCAGATAAGACTGCAATCAGTTGAAATGTAATAATAGAAGTAAGTTGAAATCACGTGTGTTAAAAGTTTCTTAAATGTGATAACACCCGCCACGTCTAGATAACTTGACGAAGAATATGCACAAAATAAATTTCAAATAATAAATGCAAGAGGAATAAAAATGGTTGAAATGGAAATATAAAAATTCAAATACAGACTGAATACATTGAATAAAAATAAAAACAATCAAGAAAATAAAATTTACCATAAAATAGCTTTCAAAGGAAAAACTATGTATAGTAGTAGAAGAAGAAATTTCTGGGAATATTTTTAAAATTCTCCGAACCTAACGCTAAAACGTTAGGGAGAAAACTCGTGAGGAAATATGGTACGTAAAATAACCTATCATTTTATGCAGTCCCTATTCAGAAAAAATTCAGAGCAATAAGCAAATGTTTATCAAAACAAAAGTTACACATTGCATTTGCTTCCGAAATAAGAACAATTAAATAGTTACAAGGTCACCTTACATTTATCAGTTTTCGCCTTACATTTATCAGTGTGACATGTCAGCGTGTTGCTGAAATGAGTGTTTTCTAAGAACGGGGCTTTTGAATAAAATTTTATAACCTCCTAGGTTCAGTACACTTGTGTAAAAAATTAAGAAAATAAACTCTTTATTTGTTCATTTTTTTCTTTTTTCGAATTTCTCAAGAAGTGCTAGACAGAATTTAATGAAATTTGGTAAGGGTACAGAATAATACAAAAAAGCAATTTATATGTACTCATGAGGGACACGAGTAATAAAAGCAGGAATGTCCAAAACTAATGCGCCAGGCGGAGCAAAAGCTGAGATAAGTAGAGGATATATAGTCTCATCTAACATACACACTGGTCGTACAGCGAATGGTCACATATGACGTCTTTTAACAAGACAAACTCTCATCCTCTATTACTAACCTCTAGACAGGACTTTCGGTTCCACAATATTTTGAGTGCCTCCATGGTGCAAAAACAATATGAGCTTACAAACAAACATCCATGAATCCGAATTCGAACTCGGGTCCAAGGAACCCGGGTCCGCTCCATGCGAACCCCAAATGAGTATTCATAGTACCTGCGATTAGTAGAAGAACGAGAGCGGCAGTGAAACAGGATAATAATAACATCATGATGATATTAGTAAGGCTACTGTACTGCTCTGTAATCAACCTTTTAGATGGCTTTCCTTACGATGTCGGTGGACAAAATTCCGATAGTCTTTGGTTGACAAATTATACTTGAGCTCATCGGAGAAGAAAATTTGTTTCCATATACGGTCCTAATGTCTTCGTTCTTGCATTGGTGGTAGAAAGTCAGAGGAAGTTTCAAAACCGGACGCTAAGATACAAACTAAGAAATTACCGACGATATTTCTATACAGAAATTGTCGACGAAAAGAGTGACCAGACATCGCCTCATGAGTCACTGTGGACCATTGTTACGCTAATCTGTAGAAGCTGCTAAGCGGTCACCATCATGTGTACCATGTGTTTATTTTCTAGTTTTGTGATGCCTGTATATGCACCAGTCGCCTTACATCGATGCGTCAAAATGTCTTTCGTCTATTGTACACGCCTTTTTGCACTAGCTTTCCTTCAACATGCGCTATTGTGTTTCAGTGTGTGCTGCGGTACGAGAAACCGCCTTTTTTTTACTCTACGACTCTTTCTTTCTCTTCAAGAATCCATAAGTTCTTCATAATGTTGTCTCGCTTTACGTTGAATAATGCTTATATTTTGTCAGTGCAACAAATGAAGACTTATTCTTACCGACTGAAATTTGCTTATTGCAGCTCTCTTACAGAAACTAAACGGCGCGCCAAATTTCGGGTAAATCTGGTAACATTTTCTTGGAATTGCAAGTTCTCTGGATTGCAGAGTGAAAAATAAATTAAAGAAATGTACTGGCTCGCGGGTATGTCTGAATATTTTAATTCTGGGTAATAAAAATTAAATAGGACTATATAAGAATTCCAAAAAAGAGATCTTACCATAGCTTTTCTCAACACCGGTCCCTGGAATATAAGTGAGAACTAGTAGAGGCGTTGAAAGGAAGAGTGGTAAAATTTGAAAGAAAGTGGAGTGAATATATTCGTGTATGATAAAATACACGTAATGTGTATGTAGAGTTGTCTGACGCATGAATGTTATCCTCATTTCAAGAATAAAAAAATTAAAAAACATTGTGTTAGTTCACACGAAACAATGCGGTTGTGAAATTTGAGCAAAATAATAGTGGATTCTATCCCTAGGAATTCTTCTCCCAGATTAGGATGACGGAGAGAAGGCATGATGTCACTGCAAGCTCTGTACTGGGTGCGCCTCTTGCAAACACCATTTGTTATCCTTGTACGAGTACATTCAAGAAACTAGAATTAACGTAACAAACAACCCCTAAATACCTTTTTCTTCCCTCTTAAGATCAAGATGGTTGTTTCTTGACCGTAGGAGAAATATTGCATAATTAGATGATAACTGAGTAAATCTCCATCATATTTCTTTCTTCATCTTTGCCTCCCCAAAATGTTGACTATAAACTGAGGAGATAAAAGATGTCTTTTCACAAATGACATTGAGCTTTGGATTCCTTACTTTAAAAGCTCGATATATAAACTTTCGGTGTAGAAATCCGCAGATATCAAACGCCAGACGATTTTTTCTTTTAAAGAATAATCACGATTTGCAATCCGGAACTCCGGAACGGGAATCAAAGGTCTAAACGATAGCTATTGTTCGCTTTCTCAAGAGCTAAGATTTTAAAACCAGATTGCTGTAAGATTTTACTATACTGACTTACTCTATTTTAGACAAGAAGCAAAACGATATAGTCGGTGACAATTTCTAGTATGTTCAAAAATCCCACAGCAGAAATGTTTAGAATTTTGAATAAACAAGACGATATGAAATATGAATTTAAATGGAAATTCCAAACAGTCAGAGCAGGATCTGAGATAATATCTCCTCCTAAAAGTCCAACCGAAAGAGTGCCTGTTACAAATATTGCCATTTTTCCAAGGTAAATATATTTGCATTGTAAAATTATTTTCATTTTTTATATAATATTTTTACCGATTTTTAATTAGGTTGGCTTCTTTTATTGGCTTGTTTAGGTCAAATATTCAAATCAACTTCGACTTCCTTCTGCTTAGTCCATTTCCTTGACATTTTGTACACATATATATTTGCGACATCAATTCAATATTTCATACTGATTTTTTTAAAAATTTGATAAAGATTTATTTAATGTTAATTTTACTTACGTATCCATAATTAATGATCAAATTAATTATTGCAGAGTTTCGACTTTTGCATCATTGAACTGATCGCAAAATACTTCTTTCAACTGAAGCTTCTTTAGAATTTCTAATATAATTTTCAGATTAAAAATTTTTTTTAAACTACCATGCAAGTGCTAACAATGAAAAATTGTTAATCAATTTATTTAATTCGTTATTGTTAAGACCTTGAAAGAAAGGCTACTCCACTTATTTCATAGTCAGAAGGCAGAAGATTTCATTAGAAAGAATAGTTTTAATATATTCATATGCAGTGAGTTTTGTTCTTTATTAGACTATGTAGCAAAATATCTACGCACCACGAAAATGCAATGGAACGCAAGGATACATGACATGCAAATACCCTAAGCCCAGCTATGCACATCATTAAACATGCATAGTGTGTGTACTGCGCATAGGAAGGAGAAATCCGACAGGTAGAAATGACCAAGTACTCGTCTGCCCTGTAAATTTGTACCGATTTCATGGTAGAACTGTTGGCGTTCTCAAGAAGTGTGCCTCAGTAACCTGAACGATGAAGTCGCATATAACTGAGACAGTTCTTGAAAAGACTCTTCATCGCCTTTCGGAAAACACAGGGGGTCATGTCGCCGCATCGCCAGAAACGGTGAAATAGTGAGACAATGCTGTCAACAGTGACTTTATCCATCAGCGGACAGTGCGCCATCCATCAATGGACGGAGGGCCGTGACAGAACGTTGGGGTCAAATTGACGCACGGACGAAGTCATCATGAACATTGCCACACCGCACCGCAACACTTTCTATCATTCAGTATTGGATGATGAATGAAGAAGGGTAGACTGCATTTTCAATGCCCCTTATGACGTCTATTATTAATGAATGTCATCACCCAAACCGTGTACTGTGCTGTTGCTTCCGCGCTCGGGAAACTGTAACGGATTGAAGATGTACTGTTTTCGGCAATAAAAATGCTGCTAACCTAATGTCTTTGCGATGCGGCTTACTTCTATCATCCCTGGTGTTACAGAGGGGAAGGGATGCTATTGCGTATGATACCCGTCATGTTTAGTCACACTGAGACCACCCTATTTGGTCGACGTCATGTCGACGATATCCTGAGGCTTACTGTAATACCCTTGCTGTCGGATCTACATGGTCATAATTTTGAACATAACACACATCCGCATGCAGTACACGTGATTGTGAAGTTCTTGCGCAAAGTGGCGCTTTTCCATGGTTGGTACGATCGCCCGACATCTTCCCCATTGGAACAATGGCAATTTTTCGGCTATCAGCTCCAGCTGTCGCAAAATGTGTCTGACGTGGCTGCGTGATTACACAGAATCTGTTGGGACATCCTTCAGAACAACTTTAGACGTTCGTATGTCGTATGTGTCCATGATAATCCATAGTTCCGCATACACTTAATGCTCTGAACAGATTTACGTGATATTAATCCGTGAAGATTCTGGATCGTTCGTACTGCAGTAGATGATGACGCTGACGCTCCAGTTGTTATACCATATTCTCCTCATTGCATCCCTCACATCTTTACCCGGTTTATTTATCCACTTCTCTTTCTAAGATAATAATAATAATAAATCCACGCAACGTTTAGATTCTTTTAATTCATTTTTACATTTATTTTTTGCATTCATTTTTTATTCATTTAATTTACAGAAAGTTTGTCTTTTGAGAAATAAAATTAGAAAATAACACTATATATGTAATCAAGAGATAATAATTAAATCAAAAAATGGTGGCTAACGTGCTAAGAGGAAGAACAAAAGTCAAAATTGAAACATAAAACAATAAACTCAATAAAATAAAATAAAAATAATAATACTATAATAAATAGTTGAAAATTCTTTGCTCTTTTTCAAGGAGCGGCCGAAAAATTTTCAACCAGCTACTTTTCTGAATTTATTTGAATGATCATGAAAACAAAATTCATGAAATAATTCAAAAGCACAAAAAAAAGAACGAGTTGAGTTGTATGGACTGTCAGATAAAAACCAAACATTCTATTACTGAATTGAATTGTAAAAATGTTGCCTGTAAGAATGGAAAAAGCGGAAAGTGTAATCACAGTGATCGAATTTATTAATTTTAAATAGAGAAATCAATTTTTTAATTGTGAAAAATAAAATGAATTAAACTTATAATTAAATTATATTGTATATAATTCTTTAATTTTTTATTTGAAAAGTAATTAGATAAATTTGTAGTGTAGAAAAAGAAAAACTGAATATTTTAATGAGAGTAATACTGAATTTAATAAAAGTAGCACTTAATTTTAATTTTTAAGAATTAAAAATGAGAAGTAATTTTATTTAATGGGGAGAAAGTTGTAAAAGCGAAAAAGGTAAGTAACAGTTAAATATTTTATCTATTTTGAGTATAATTGGGCAAGCATAGAAATGGCTATTTTTTAGTATTAATAGAGACAGAGGGACTATTTACGTATTTACAACTGTTACGCATCATGCAAATACAGGGTTCATAGCCACATTTTAATTAAAAAAATAAGCACCTATAAGCACTTTTCAAGCACATTTTAAGGAAAAAATAAGCACCTGTCTAATTACATTATACACAACTGCATAACCTTAAAAGAAAAATTAGACTTGTAATTTAAAATATGAGCAATGCAATATTTATTACGAGAATGAGCATTACCTCAATAATGGAAAACAATTAACTTTTTTTTTTTTTTTAATTTTAAAATGACAGTTCAATTTACAGAATTAGTTTACAATGAGAGAAAAAACTATGCAGAACTAAAACTATATTACAAAATTTAATGATATTTCAGTTGAAAATATAGAAAATAAATAATAATAAGCCATATTAATTGTATTCGTTTGGCACCTAATAATAAATACAATTTATTTTTCCACTCATTTAATATTTAAATAATTTAACTTAAATCAAAATTCTGAACATTTTCTAAATTTTCATTCCATAACAGTTTTCCCTTAACATATATCCCAAACAAAGTAATTTAAGTAAAAAAGAGGCACATTTCTGAAATCAGAAGACGGGAAATTGCTTCATGCAGTCATCCTTTAACAGTAAAAGCTCAACTAACCCGCATACTAGGAAATTCCCGAAATATTCCGGATAGTAACTGGAAAAAAACAAGTGCAGGGGAGACTTGTAGCCGTTCTTTAGATTTAAATTTAAGGCTAAATACAATTATTTTGACATTTCGATACGTGCATCATATAAACATAGACCAACGGAACTGAGAAATATTCTGCTTAGAAAGCACAGTAAAAGTCTTTTAAGTGTTCATAAACAAATCTCAGACTGAACATCAAAATTAATTATCTCAGCAAAATACCGGCAAACGTTATTGCGCAATACATGCGGCGTAACTTCTTGCCATATGTGATTATTACGCAATCGGAATCAACAGCTGCCGGTATTCGGAGAATAAAGAACTAGAACTAAATAAAGGAAAAGAAAGAGACTTACTAATCTTGGGTGTTTCTGATTCTAACTTTCAACAGACTGTATTAAATTTCCGGAATAGAATCAGTCTTCGCTTGGGTTGGGTAGACTGCAAAACTTATAGTCCCTATTCAATCCAGATTGGACAGTGACAAAAAAAAGTCCGCTGCTTCAATATTAGAGATTTTGCAGAGAAAAACTCCCAAGCTCCATACTGTATGATGTATTGCAAAGAAAATGAAAATTATTTTGACTAATCTGTGTAAAAACACACCCATTTTTGGAAGTTTATCTATACTTCAGCAGTTACTGCAACTATATTATTATAAATATTCATACACGTGCTCATAATATAAGCATAACGATCACAATAAACACGAATATGAACTGACCACGCGGAACAAGAATGCAAATTATTAAAATCTTGATAGAAATTCAAACATGTGTAGTATTTGAGTGGGAGGAAAAGAATACCAAATGTACCGGAATTTTCTACCGTTTTCGCAATTCTTTGGCCAATAGAAAGACCGTTTGGCCAATAGAAAGACTGTCTGTACTCTCGCGCGGACCATAGGTTACATTAATGCAGAGGAAGAGGGGGGAAAAGCAATTTCCGGAAGTATGATTCACCATCTGACGTTGCATATAAGGAAAAAAAGTTCTTTATTTAGTTTCGGCTTTGATACGGGGGAAAAATGCGCGTTCATTAAAAACAAAGGATTAAAACAAAAGCACTAAAAGCAAAAAATAAGCACTAAAAACAAAAAAATAAGGGCTTTAAAGAAAAAGTAAGCACCTATAAGAGCCTTTATATTTTATTTTCAAATATAAGGACTTATAAGCACTTGTAAGGACCGCTACGAACCCTGAAATACCTTCAGCTTTGATTTAAGTACTTCCTATTATACATAACAAGAAAAATTAAAACGTCTAAATGTGCAATTTTTGAAAACGTTGTAGCGTCATTAAGTTATTTCGAAACAGAAGAGATGAAAAATGAGCAACGCCTTCCCCGGGAATCGAACCACGGGCCTCTCGAACACGCGCCGAGTGTGCTACATTACACTATGAAGGCATGCTAAGAAGGCGGGAGAAATACCTTATAAAGTAAGTTATTAAATTAAGAATTTGTAGTATTTGGGTATTATTTATAAGTATTATTAATGAATGTAATTTTGAGAAATTAAATTTCGGTCGTCAGCATCAGTGCAAAAAGTTTGAATCCTCAGAATCTGATTTAGTCACAACTGAACTCAATTTTAGAAGAACGTTTCAAAAAATTTTCATTCTTTTTATTTTGG